TCCGCGTGTTTCGGAAAGCAGCACGACCTTTTGACAGGCAAAAATTTCTCCACATTTGTGCCTCAACAAAACTTTTTCGTAATCCCAAAACGCTTTAAATCAGAAAAACAAGTGTTTATGTAAGAATCTGGATACCATTGTGGTCTAATAAGCAAAGATAAAGACCATAAAACGTACCCGTTTCTGCATTTTACCGGGCTCGAACTCTCGTGTAGACCGCTGATTTTTATCGGGGTATCTTAGGGTGTCTAGTATTGCGAGATTCGTAGGTAAAATACAAGTTCATTTTTTAACCGACGTTATCCGCGGCGTCCCCGACGTCGTTTCTTAAACTCTCTATTCAAGTCGGTAGGCCGTCGGTCGCCACTTTCGGTCGATTCTTGGTCGATGTGTCGATCGACACTCAGCCGACGTGTTGACCGATAGTTTTATTCATTTATTTATTTATTTATGGAATTTTAGAAATGTAATTTTGAACTTCTATTTTATTTTTGATTTAATATTTATTGTAAGGCGCAGTTGAATATTTTTATAGAAACTACGCGGTATAAATTTAAATTTAATCATAAATAATAATCGACAGATATCTATTCTCGACCGACAGATGCCTTTAGTTCACGCGGTTCAACAAGTGGACGGATTTGGCCATCAACTGGCTCTTATAGATAGCCCTGAGATTCTATCAATGTGAGCAGCTCTAATTTTTTGTTGTTAAGAAGATTAGGGGGTCATCCTTGAATGCTACGCAACGTGACCTTTGAAAATGGACCCTTCCTATATCAGTGCTACCTTAAAAGAGTCTCATAGCATAAATATTTCAAACGGTTTTTTCTCTATAGCGCAGCGATTGATAACGTATGGAAACGCGTCGCTAAAGCAGTAGTCAGTGGCAAGCTTGGTTTTGCGGCAAAGGTCAACGCACATGACCCTGAAGATAACACACACGTGATCTGCGTCTACACTGAGGATTTTACAAATGAGGAGCACGTGCGAAAAGTAGAGGAAAGTCTCCGAAAAGAAGGCGTCAAAGGACGAATGACCGACAAACCAGATATCTACACAACGTTAGGGATCTATCGCGACAATCCTTGGAGACTGAGGCCTACAGTGTACAGCAGCCATCATTAGTTGAAAACGAGGAGTGTCTTCAGTTATACATACTTTAAAGGAAACCCCACTGGCTTGTTGTTCAAGGAAACATTTGAAAATTTAAAAATGACAAATATGACTTTATTTAGTTATTTATTGAAACACTATCAAAGACCATTCATGATATCATCAAAAAGGACTACGTTGTCCAAAAGAATGTATGGTGAAAGTATTTGAATTGCTAAATTACGAAAATAAGTTTGCCAAGACGTTAAAATTTAATAAAGCGTTCAGTGGTAATTTGGTCTCCGTCGATCTTACAGATTATAATTTATAATTCCTTCAGTTTGAATAAAAGGGACTGTTACTGTTGGCTGATGTCTCTTTTAATTTTTTTTCAAAAAAAAAATTAATGGATTTCCGTCACGAATCCCGAAGGCTCGACTACTAGCCGCTGGTTGGGGAATGGAAGGAATTATTTTAATAATTAAAAAATTAAAACTTTTAATTTCATGAATATTGTAAGTTTTAGA